TCCCCCTCACGGGATTCGCCGCACAGAGAGCCAGCCGGTCGGATGGTGAGAGGGCTTGTTCTTTCTTTTCTTTTCATGCCCAAAGTTTTCTTTGCCTTGATTTTTGGTGTTCATTGTTAATTATCAGCTAATCTGCACTTTGTATTATTTGTCAAGATGTTCAGTTGTGTTTCGTTCAACGTGCACAAAATATTAGAATGCCTTTGATTTCAAATGATTAAAACATTGAAACCCAATGAAAAGCTTATATTCAGAGAATATAAATGCATGTGCAAAATCTATATTTTTTGTATGATTCTGCTGCCAAATTAGGTTCAGAGAGTAGAAAAGTTGTTATCTTTTTGTATAATATTTTGTGCCCTTGAAATGTAGTAGCTTATGTTTGCATGGGTTCCTGTTTCTTGATTTGATGTTTTTTTTGTTGTTAAAAGTTTTATTTTCTAGTCCAACTCTTCCATGTGCCATCCTTGTTTCCCCGTTATGCCCTAGGTTCTGCTCCCCTCGCAGCACGGATTTCTTGGTTGCAAAAACAGCCCCTTTTTTCTGCCCCTCGCACCCCTCCACACAACGTAGAACGTTCCAGCTACAATCATGATGCACAGCCTGAAGGTGGTGGTTACCTCATGGCTCTCTTGCTATTGGTGGTCTTGTTTCCAAACTAACCAATCAGCACCTTTTTTTAATCTTACAACCCTCTCTATTGGTTGATAATGTTTTGGACTAACCAATCAACAATGCATATTTCACACTGTGGTCTTGTGTTCCAACTAGCCAATCAGCACCTGTTGTTTGCACTACAGCATTCCTTATTGGTGGATACTTCACTCACATACTTAGCTCACAAACTATTACATTTCTGTGAATTTGGCTTACCTCAGTCTATTGCTATATTTGATAACAAAGCTAACCAATCAGGACTGTACTTGCATTCTCTCATTTTCTGGATGTGGCATCACTACTGCAATGTATTTACCGATAACATTAACACCTCTGATGAAGTTTTTCTTCAGTCTGTTACATGTAGTAACTACGTATATTAGCCAACCATGGCCAGTTGTCTGTAGACTAAAACTTATTGCCTGCTTTGGCTTTAACCAATCAAGTAGTGCTGCACACCGGTTCACTGGACTTGGATCTGGACTTGTAAGAATGTTTAGGTTCAAGTCCAAAAAAACCCAAAAGTCAAGAACCGAGTCCGGACTTATTACCATAAAAGACCATTTCACATACCCCTTTTCTTTCCAAACCACCTACAAATGTAAAACCTTCCGTAGATTGCAAAATCTTTGCTGCAAAATGAAGAAAACATTGCCATCAGGCATCATCAAGTGTCGGCCTCCATGTTATGTGGCCAAAGTTTCACCCAGACAACATTGCAAGGTTGCCAACATGCAATTTTGTATATGCCAAGGGTTTAGGTCTGGACTTACGAGTCCGGAACTGAACCTAAACCTCTGGACTTGAATCCGGACCTGAACCTAAATGTGGGTTTAGGTATGCAGCACTACAATCAAGACAGACTGATCATTATTGTCATCTCTAGTACATTTGCTTGTACTTTTAGAAATTTCTTCTTCTCTCTGCCAGATAGTTCTTCAATACTTGTCTTGCGTGAATAACACTTGCCTTATGAGATTTGCTATGTGCATTTGTTACTACATTGTACAGTTCTACATTCAAGCTGAAATTTAACCCCAGTCTTTGCACCTCTTGTAGCAATACTTTATTCTGGTCTATTATGATTCATATCTTTATCTGTCCTGACTAAATGTACATATTTTTTGTAGGTAAGAGATATAAACTTTCTACTAACTCAAATTTTCTCACTTCTAACATAGTCGTATCGGAGGAAAATGACTATCACCCTTTCGAGGTCCCACCCAGCACACTAAACTAATGATTCTCTTAACTAACAATGTGGTGTAAATGCAGTTTTTATTTGATGTTGCTCCTAATGCAAATTAACACCTGTGAAATGCTACTGACAAAATGTTCAGAACAGTTCTGTTTACTGATTGGTCAGCCATCTTGATTACATCATCGAATGAGGTCACATAGCTTAAGTCAGTTTGACACTTTTTAAAAACCATGTTTTGATGTTGTTATCAAGATGGTAGATCAAATGCCTTGTACAGTATGTATGTATCCTGGTAGTGTATAAGATCTTAGATAGTCTGCCTCTTTCTATACATAATGTTGCACTGATTATGTCACTTTGGAAGTAGATGTGCATGTGTGCCCTCTAGTGCATGCGTCATGAACTGCATGTATGGACTTACATTTGTAGGTACAGTTTTGTGTCTGACGCATGTACTATTACTGATCAGTCTGTTTTTATATTGCTTTGATAAACCTTGATAACAGTGCTTCAAACTCCTACCCAAAGTAGCTTTTTACAGAGAAAGCTTTCTAGCTTTGTTTTTGCTGCAAATATTGTATGGAATTTGAAAATGTATGCTGAATAACTTATTTTCTAATGATGCTTGAATATTGAGAAAAATTGATGAGAAAAATTTAGATCTGATGATGCTTGAATATTGAGAAAAATTTCTGATGATGCTTGAATTTTGAGAAAAACAACAGACAATTTTTGCTTTCAGTTTGCTTATAAAAATATGTTCTAACTTGATGAGTGCAGTTTTTTTCTGTATGTATGAGGAGAAGTTTTGCGATGAGTATGTCTGCTTGTTTGCGACAGTTTCCCCGACCCCACCGCCGCCCCCGCCACCGGACATGGAGAATGACATGTTTGATTACGGACACTCCCACACACCGCCGCCACCACCACCGCTAGGGCACGATAACGATGACAACTGGATGCCACAACAGTTCTTAGAGAAAGGTCAGAATATATCATTTAGAAGTATGATATATAGTATGATATAGTAGAAACGAGATACACTTTCCACTTGACTGTACATTATATAAAGATGAACGCCAAGAACTATTCGATACTTTACAATTTAGACAAGATATGTAAGAAAATGTCAAAGCAGGACACGTTTAATTACATGTACTTGATGTCATGCAAGAGCAAATGTACAGCAGACAAACTACATGTATGTAATAATGTTTCCAAATGTTTCAAAAAGAGAGAAGAAAGGGCAACTAACAGTAGATAATAGGTAGTATATAGTATTGTATAGTATAGTATTGCATTAGAATATAGCTTTCCAGTATGAAATACTCATGTTTTGCATACTGCATATCCTCTTGTGCATTTAGCCCATCTGGGCAAGAACATGCAATAAAGATTCATATCTGTGTAAAAACATAGCTGCCCACCTGTTGTTTCTTGTTTCAGTCCTGAAAAAATTAGGGTTGGTAGGTAGGGATTAGCTTTTTTTCGATGTTGGCAGTTTTTCAATTTCTTTAGATGTTGGCAGTCTCAATACAATACAATTTAACAAAGTAAAACTTGCGGGCGATCCAACTCGCGGTCGGGCTGGTACCGTGTTGTATTCTATATGTATTTACTGTAACAGTTGTTCTTCCCACAGTGGTCGCGGTGTATGATTATGAGAGGGAACGAGAGGATGAGCTGTCGTTTAACGAGGGTCAGATTATCTACGTCATCAAGAAGAACGAGGACGGCTGGTACGAGGGCGTGATGAACGGCGCCCATGGACTCTTCCCAGGAAACTACGTTGAACCTTTAGGAACGTAAAGCGCTCACTAGACCTCCTAGAACAGCTGGGCAGAAGGCCCACGGACAGAATGAGAAGTCTACCCTGGACAGGGTTCTAGCTAGCGCGAAGTAGCGTAGGGGCCCCTACGCTATAATTTTCACCCCCACGCTAAATTTCCCCCCCTACGCTATAATTTTGACCCCCTACACTAAATTTTCCATACAGCATTGGGGCATTGTGACTGTGTTTCTTTGTTCAAGAATGCCAGATCAAATGTGAAAAATTACCAATCAAGGATACATTGTACATACCTTTAACGGGCTTAGAAATAACATTTTTTCCCTTTGGGTATCCCTCAAATGGCCCCTTTTTTAGCTCAATTTTTTAGAAGCTCTGCCCCATCCCCCCTCTTGGTCGCTTTGCTCCCTTGACATGCGTCCAGTACCACTACGCTAAAATTAAATCCTAGGTAGAACCCTGCTGGAATCTTTGACAACTACTGTATTGTGGAAAATGTCCATGGAATGATGAGTGAACAGATTCTCATGAATTCCTGAGGTCTTCTGCCTGCTTCGGTAGAGATATTTAAAAATTGATTATGTTTAACATGATTAAGAGGATGTGCGAATTACGCGAGGAGCGAATTTTGGAAAAGTCCATTTACTTGTCCTGTACATTGAGTCAGATTTCGTGTTACATGTTTTAGTTTTCCATTGATTTAGTAACTAACAAATGCTATTGATATCTGGCACTATGAACTTTGTCAAAAGATATCAAATATGTAGAAAAAATTATGCACATTGGTGTGTGTATTCCATGCCAAAAAGAATTTCAAGGAATTTCGTACGGGAAAGTATCCAACATGTTTTGTTGTAAGACTTTTGTTGTAAGACACACTCAGAAACATTCTTTTCTTGTTAAACAGTTGGATCTCTGAAATTTGACAAGTTTGCGGACTTTTGTAAGGAATTTCTTCCTCCAACATGCACTGAGCAAAATAAGGCATTGTTAATGTGGACAGATATTGTATATATAATGTATATCTATACTGCCATAGCTATTGAGATGTAATGGTGCATACGGTGACACACAACTCGTGTCAACTCTTGTTAGAGACAAAGATGTCAAATTCTGACGCTTCCTTTTTGCGTGTGTGCGTTTCCTCACATGCTAAAGAATTTCTCGGAATTCTAAAAGAAAAGCACCTCTTCCAACTTTTTCTACTGAAAAGCAGTAGTTCTACATCTTAGTCCAGACTCAGCTGAAAATTTGTCAAGTGACTCCCAATACTCCTGTGCTAAAAAAGCTGTATATGTACATAAAGCACAGTTATCAAACTTATAATGGCAGAAAGTTGGCATATTCTTAAGGAGCATTTTACAAGTCTTGCCATTCACTTGACAATTTGAGAAGGAAAAATAAGCAACAAAAAGCAATGATATTGACAGTAGAACATTCATTTTAATCCTTGAAATTGAGAATGTTCTGTAAATTAATTGTTTTCAGTTGAAAGTATAATACAAGGCCATGTGTCATATTTGTTAATTACGTGGTGAATAAAAACACCAAAAATTGAAAGATCGCAGTCATACAGTTACAAGAAAATGCCATCTTTCCATCTGTATTTGGAAAGGTAAACTGAGACCCAAACAAGGCATATTCTCTAGGTAGTATACACTAGATACTTGTGTGTATAGATAGGTAAATCTACATGTGTTTATGTCTCTGTATATGTGTGTGATCCCACTACTCCCTAGATCTCCACATTTTGTCTCAGATTTCTCAACTCACAAGCCATTGACAGTAAAACTATTATGAGGGATTTTGAAATATCTACTAATATTTGTCCACAAGTCCCAGTACAATGTAATACTCCACACACAGGATTACTGTATATTGGAGCTGAAATCTACTTTGCTAAAGGAAAAACTCAACTCCTAACTAGTACTGTTTCCTACTGGATAAGTTTTAAAAGTGATTTGAAATGTGTACTGGTCATTTTTAATGTCATTTTTACACATGGTGTTGACTAAGACGTACCCTAAGTAGTCTTTTGATATCTTCACAATTGATGGATACAATAAGCCAAAACTAAAATACTAGTAACGCAGTGTTCTCAGTCACTATTGTCAAGAGAAATACTTGAAAATGTGTCCCCATTATTTAAAAAAAATGACTGAAAGTATAATTGCTACATTGTCAATTTGGCATTGACTGTAACTTGTTATGTTTAAGACTGACAATAGAGCATTTACTAGTATCAGAATATTTGAATGCAGCTTTTCACAGTTATGAAATGCTGTTGAAATGGAAGTTTTGAGGCAGTGTTAGAAGAGTAACACAAGAAAGAAGACTTTTGCACATATGGCTGACGATTTGGTAGAAAGGTGAAATTTGTCTGATTTTGGAAGAAACCATTTTGAACATTTGTTAAGGGTCACGTGGTGGAGTAACTATTTTGAAGAATTAACTGGTATGTTAAATAAAAGGAGATGACTTTTGTAAACAAAAGCGTTATACTATAGACCTGGCTGTAATATGTTTTTACTTTGTACAAGCACAAAGTTTCCAATCACTTGGTTTCTAGTTTCTTTAAAAGTTGTGTTGACTATGGTTGACAGTTGTACATATACCTTTGTATAAGACTGGTTAGAGAGAGGGGCTGTACGAGGTGAAAGCTATGGAAAGTAATGGTAATTCGGTTACATTTTAGGTCAGGACAAGAGTACATGTTTGTATAATCTTCTCTGAATGCATCATACTACACAGAACTTTGACAAGGACTCTGCCATGGTTAGACTTTAAACAAGCAGCTTAGAACTGTTGACAATAGATTTCTACAGAGATTGGAATAATGGCCAGTTTTTACAGTGGTGCTCACACTAGAATGCCATAGATTAAGTAGAAAGCCTGCATTCTGAAGGGGGTGATCCTATTAATTCTGTGAACATTGTGCATTCAGAGAAGAATATTATATTCTTACCAAGGCCTATTGGACTATTGTAACATGGTATCACCCAATAGATACACTCATTGTAAGTATGGAGGTTGGATCATGGCACTTTGTAAACATGCAAGTATGGATAAAAATATGGCTATGAATTTGCATACTGTGTTCTTGTAGTGTTTTATACGGTAGTATGATATAGGTGTAAGAAGTAACCTGCAATGAAGCACTGCATTTTCTGGAAAGGGTGACCAAGGCCACAGCAAGTAATTTTTATGGATGACATCAGCGCACGCATCAATTTTCGCCTGATTTTGGGGAAAAAAACAAGAAATTTTGTTAACTTCTGACTGTGGTCAACATGCCAAAAATGGGCAAAGATGTCTGTTGCCATGCCAGAAGGTGGATGGCAGATAAATATGAAGAGAGGAGACAAGAAACGGCTCTGATTTAATGTTTTGTTTGTTACATTGATGCAGCAATATGTGATGCTGGCTGTGTATATGTGATGTTCCCACTGAATCAAAACCATTTCTACAATGATTTAGTCAAAATTATTAAATGTAGGAACCTTGTTTTTTTCGGCTCGCCTTGTTTTGTTTTTTTGCCCGCTCCCATTAGATTTGGAGTCTGCGGAGGATGTCATCGAAAAAATTTACTTGCTGTGGCCTAAGGAAAATGGCAGAAGTAAGAAAATGGCAGAAGTACAAAAATGTACAAAATTTTGTCACTAAATCCAAATGTGCTGAGAGGGAAATCAGGGTAGGTTTACTCCCAAATAGGAGATCGTGTTAAAAATCGTGTTAAGAAAGTCAGTTATGCCCAGAAATGTTACATTTGTGTCACACTGTAAAAAAAATTGCAGCATGACACGTTAGAATGCAGACAGTTTACATATCTATTGTCCTAAGGCCACACCAATTTAATTTGTTGGTTCTTGGATTTGCATCTTCATTTTTTTCTGATTGTAAAAAAGATTTTGGTTATGAATCATCTCAAAAATGCTCATATTTTGCCCCCAACAGTTGAGGAAAGTCATTTTCTTCCCAGATGTTACAGTTTTTCCATCTATCAATGCAGTGGTTTGATTAAAAGTTCAAAATTCATTGTTTGAATTGTAACCCAGCCTTTTGTGTTGACTTCATGGCTCCAAACGTAGCATTTGGGGCTATAATAGGATGCCTGGACCTGGTTTTTATTAAAATTATATTATTTTTTGGATACCACTAAGGGACATTTCCAATTTTTTTTCTTCCCAATTTACAGATAAAGTTGAACCTGGAAGTCAGAAAGTAGGCTATACGATTTTACAAGGTTAAGGGGTGTTGGTATGAAAATTTCGTACTAAGGGACTAGTGAAAGGGGATATGGGGTGACAAACAAAATAATTGGATTCACCCTCCCTGATTTTAGAATGGAACAATCCGATATAAATGCTGGTTTCACATTTTGATTGTATTTTTCATCAACACCTGTCCTGAATTTTTATGATTTTTGTTGTAAATATTGTCATGCAGTGGTGGGTGTCATTGTATATCATAACTCTGCAATAAAATATTCTTGTATCTTGCAACTTTCCCTGTGAATGTCTTATCTGAAACTTGAGATTTAACATGAATATACATGGTACATACATGTACCTTGAATACCTTCCCTTGACCACACCCCAACTGAGGTCTGTGCCAGTATGGGGGTAGCTGGAATCCATCCTATTATAGCTCAAGTCTGTTTTCAACCTTTGTTCAAAATTTAGTTTGTTGACATTTAGGCCATGTTGATTTGATTATATGGATGACATCCTCTGGGAACCTCAAAATTGACACGTTCGAATAAAAAAAAAGGTGGCAAAAAATTCCTTCATTATGAAATCTATGATAAAGATTGAACAAATGACTAAACACACAGAATATATATGCTGTGGCGAATCATGATAAACTTTTATTTTCATTTCTCCACATTTTCTTCTTTTCCTGAATTGATTTCGGCATTCTATGACACTTTCCGATACTTCTTTTGCAACATATGATATATATTCGCTCATTTTGTATGATTGACAGTAAGGTTGCAAACTTTTTTTTCTGGAAACGGACGAAAATTCATGTGTGCACGGATGTCATCCACATAATCAAATCAACATGGCCTTACATGCAGTAGCCATAGAAATCAAATACACAGGTGTTTACACTACCATATTCAATATTGTCTGTAGTATACTCTTGTAACTTTCTTTGTAGCTTGCTTATACCAAGGACATTATACAGACTGTGTATAATGTCCTTGCTTATATACACGGATGGAATCTGAAGTTGATCGTCAGTACTGAAGCGCCCACTAGTGACGAGTGAAGGTACTACAGTCCAGGAGCAGAAGAGAAGGAAAAGACACAATCACACTGTTCTCTGTTACATACATGCATTGTATGTAATGACTCATGTAATTATGGAACATCCAAGAACAAAGACATTAACTCGTAGCAATTGCCGACGTTACATGAAATTTAGGATGTGCTGATATTTCATTTTCTCTGGTACAAAATGTACAGCATGGATTTATTATATTTGGCAAAATTGAACATTTCCTGAACTCAGAAATTGATCTCCCAGTACTCATTGCCAAAACATTTTTCTGGCAAATAGACTGTTTGTTCCTAATAATACTTCATACACATAAATAAAATGTGGCAACTGAAGATGAAGAGTATGAACCATAGAAATTTCATATCCGAACTCATCTCTGCTGACTGATTTTGATCACAATAGCTACATGTGCTATTTTAAGTACTTAAAAAAAAGCTTGTCTCCTTTGAAAACAGTGCAGGAATATGTCATCAATCAATGTGCAAAAAAAACAAGATAGTCCATTTCAAAACATTGTCTTGCTACAGCAACAAATATGGCATATATTAAACACTGACAACATTTTAAACACTATGAAAACCATTATAAAATAAAGGTGACACTTTCTATGTTATTTCTTTCTATTTAAAACTTTCTGAGTTAATGTAACTAAGGCTTCCCTCTCAGGGGAGGGAGCTAGCTGTTGTATCTGTCGGACAGCCTCCCTGCAGTACTGCTCTGCCAGTATCCTGGACTGTTGTAAACTGTCTGTCTGTAGAGGGAAGGAAAACAGTTGTTGGATCATCTCCCTTATAGGTAGGTGTGTGTGTGTGTCTGTCTTTCTGCTGAATTTCCCACAAACACACAGACACTACCTGTCCTTGGTGCTGAATTATATCCACACAAACACACAGGCACTACCTGTCCTTGGGGCTGAATTATATCCACACAAACACACAGGCACTACCTGTCCTTGGTGCTCAATTATATCCTTGCAAACACACAGGCACTACCTGTCCTTGGTGCTCAATTATATCCACACAAACACACAGGCACTACCTGTCCTTGGTGCTGAATTATATTCCCACAAACACACAGACACTACCTGTCCTTGGTGCTGAATTATATCCACACAAACACACAGACACTACATGTCCTTGGTGCTGAATTATATCCTTGCAAACACACAGGCACTACCTGTCCTTGGTGCTCAATTATATCCACACAAACACACAGGCACTACCTGTCCTTGGTGCTCAATTATATCCACACAAACACACAGGTACTACCTGTCCTTGGTGCTGCATTATATTCCCACAAACACACAGACACTACCTGTCCTTGGTGCTGAATTATATCCCACACAAACACACAGGCACTACCTGTCCTTGGTGCTGAATTATATCCACACAAACACACAGGCACTACCTGTCCTTGGTGCTCAATTATATCCACACAAACACACAGGCACTACCTGTCCTTGGTGCTGAATTATATTCCCACTCAGCAGAGCTAAGGCG